GGTGGGGGGGGCGGCCCGGCGGGGGAGGGCGGCCGGCAAGGTCTGGAGAGGGGTGAGGGAGGTGGCGGCGGCGGAGGAGGGGGCCGGGAAGGAGGTGGGGAGGGCGGCTGGGGGAGGGCGGGGGCGGGGGCGGGGGCGGGGGCGGGGGCGGGGAGGGGGAGAGGGTGGTGGGGGGAGAGTGGGGGGCGGCGAGGACGCCCGGGCGGAGATGGAGAGGCGGGGGGAGGGCGGCGGAGCATGTCCCCGTGAGAGAGGCCAGACGGTGTGGGAGAGAGCGGAGAGTCGCACACCTTTGTGTCCGTCTTGTCGGCCTCGCCTTTGGAGTGGGCCGTGGCGGTCGTGCAGTCCGTCTCGTTGCTCGTGGAGCCCGAGGCCTTGATCGGATCCTCAGAGACGCAGAGCTCGGCGAGCGGCGGCGGCGGCTCCGCGCACCACACAGGGGCGGCGCCGCCGCCGCACGTGAGACCGACGGAGTTGGCGGTGGAGTCGGCGAGCGAGACGTCGCCATTCTTGACCGCGCCGGCAGCCTCGCCAAAGGAGGCGAGCTCGGCGTCGGCCGCGGCGCCGATGGGCTTGAGGGTAGTCGGGGCGGCGGCGCGCGAGTCGGCGCCGCTGAACTTGGAGAGGTTGAACGGGAAGGAGAAGGTTGGATGGAAGGTGGCGACGACCGGCCAGGCACCGAACAGCGCCCACCCACCCCCGAGGACGTCTTGGTGGAGCAGGAGCCCCGCGGCCTTGTTGGGTTTGCGCGAGGCAGACGCCGCGAGGGCGAGCGTCGGCGCGTCGGTCTCGAGCTTGATGCTGAAGTCGGTGCGGTTGCGCGTGTCGATGAGTGCACCCCCGCGCCGCTGACGGGGGCGAGAGGCGGCGGTTGAGGGCGTCGCGAGAAGAGCGAGGGCGAGCATGGCGGCGTGCAGCAGATGTAGGCGGAAGATCACGGGCACACAGGAAAGGAAAAAAACGGACGGCACGCAGAGGACCATTGGGTTTGTACTATTAACAACGAAGGCGCTCTCAAAAAAAACTCGTGCGCAAAAAACAAGGAGACACGTGTAGGCGCGTATCTTAGCTAAGGCTCGCGCCCTGACGTGTAAGTGCTCATAGGCGGATGAGCGGGCAGAAAAAAACACGCGTGGATTGTGTTGTTCAGGGCGGCTCGCACAGTAGTGTGAGATTGTAGTGTGTGTACGTTGGACGAGGTGTGGTACGCGAGAATACTTAGCTCCTTACGCGAGAATACTTAGCATAGTAGAGTGAGATTACAGATTTCTTTTCTAGCAATACCAAACAACTCTAAAAGTTTTAACGTCCCCCCCTCATTTTCCTACAATCGCTGTGAACCCAGCCACGTAGGCACATAGGTTAGCCTGACGAAGACCGATATACGCGGGCTACAAGTTTCTCCGAGACCTCGCGAGGTTATTCACACCTCGGGGCAGTGTGTTTGGGCAGGCGATGCCTGCTGGAGGGAAGAAACACTATCAAGATATACCCTGTCCGGCAGAGTAAGCCGAATCTACGATACGTGCTACGAGACCCCTAAGCCCTATAACGTAGGCTCAGATCACTTCTTTCGTCTTTCCAGTAAAGCCGTAGCTGGCGCGCCCCCCCAGGCTTCCACCATCCCCGGCCGGGCGACCGCTCTGGCGGCTTCCCCCGCGCGATGCCGCGGCGAGCTCAGCAGCCCCTCGAGCAGCGCCCCGACCGCTCCCACGTCTGCGCGCAAGTGCCAGCGGAATGGGTCGAGCAGCCTTCCGTCGGCGTCGAACGCCTGCACCTCGCGCGCCGGGTCGTTGTTTTGCCACGCCGCGTACCTGCCACGCCAGCGTGGGGAGTCACTCCCAAGCACGGGTCCGGGGCAGAGGGGAGGCGGTGCCGACGGAGGCGGCGGAAACGGTGGCGGTGGTGAGGGTGGAGATGAGGTGGAGGCGGCGGCGAAAGGGGCGGTGGAGAGGGCGGCGGCGGGGAAAACGGTGGCGGGGCTGGCGGTGGCGGGGACGGCGGCGGTGGGGGCGGCGGCGGTGAGACGGCGGCGGTGGGACGGCGGCGGTGGGGCGGCGGCGGTGGGGCGGCGGCGGAGAAGGAGGAGGTGACGTGGGGTATCGAGCGGCGGACGCGTCACCCGCGGCGCTGCCAGCGGCACTGATTGGAGTAGTACGCGTTTGCGTTTGCGCGGTTGAGCAGCTCGAGCACGGGCGCGCCTAAGTGCAGATCTCCCCAAATCTCCCCGAATCTCCCCGAATCTCCCCCATACCTCCCTAGTACGGGCGCGCCCGCGGGGAGGAAGAGGTTCCAGACCAGCGCCGCGCCTGAAGAAGCGTTCCACGAAAGGTCCGGGAGAGGTCCGGGAAAGGTCTGGGAAGAGGCTCCGGACCAGCGCCGCGCCGTGCGCGCCGATCAGCCCCGCAGCGCCTCGCACGAGCGAGAGCTGCTCGCGCGACGACAGCGCGCCCAGCTCCACCAGCCGCACCTCCGTCGCCGACCCGACCGGCGGCGTCCCGCCGTGCCGGAGCCTACGTCCCCGAGGCCAGTCATACGCAGCGTGGTCTGTGCGCGTGGACGTGTGTTGCGTGTGGACAGCGGGTGTGTTGCGCGTGGGCCCGCCGAGGCAAGCACACGCCGAGGACACCCCTGGGACGTGCGCACCGCCGACTGGCTGGCGGTCTTCAGCCTCGAGCCGCATTCTGCCCTCGAGGCTGGAGATGCGGTGAGATGCGGTGAGAAGCGGTGAGATGCGGGGAGAGACTCCGGTCAAGGGGCGCCCCAGCCTGCCCTCAAGGCTCGTGCGAAGCTCCTCCTCGTTGAGGATGCGCCGGTCGCTGCTGGCGGCGCGAGAGAGGAGCAGCAGTAGTCGCCTCCGAGCGCCAGGCTCGGCTGCCGCCGGCGGCAGCTGCGGCGGCGGCAGTGACGGCGGCGGTGCTCCGAGGACCGCACTGGAGAGCCACGACGCAATCGGGCCGAGCAGTGCAGTGCGGTCGGTCGGGTCTGGCTTCCACACCTGCGGGCAAAGGGGGGGGGGGGGGGGGCAGTCTACTCCTCGAGGCCTCGACACTGCCCCTCGCCGCCCTATCAACACCGCCGACCGAGGGAGATTAAGCCTTCTCCCCCGAGGGAGATTAAGCCTTCTCCCCCGAGGGAGATTAAGCATCTAGACCGCCGAACATCCCCTCTCCCTCCCTCCCTCCCTCCCTCCCTCCCTGTCCCTGTCCCTATCCCTGTCTCAGTCTCTCTGTCTCTCGAAGCATCTCCTCCGCACGTTCCACCACCATGTCTCCGTGGCAGGTTGCACGAGCAGGGCGCGGCCAAAGGAGCGGACTCCTGCCGAGCGCGCGGCGGGCTCGCCCACAAAGCGAGGCGCGCGCGCCGAGAGGCCGGGAGACCAAAACACGGCCGTCGGCGTGAGCGACGCGTTGTTGAGCAGGAAGACGTGAACGGAGTGAGCGGTGTCTGGCTTGGAGCCGAGCAGGTCGCGCATCGCCGCGGCCGTGATGTACAGAGAGCCCATCTGGTGAAAGAGGTTGGCGTAGTCGGCCAGCAGGAACAGGGCGATGGACTCGTCCTCCGCGCTCCGCTGGCCCAGCGGCCGCTTTGGCCGGATCGCGGCGACGAGCGGCTGTAGGTGCAGCCCCTCGTAGTCAGCGAGGAGAGTCTGCAGGTCGTTTGCGGAGCACGGCGCCCGCATCACGCCACGCTGTGGCGCGCCGAGGAGCGGCCGAGACGCCCAGAGTGACGGTGCAGCCCTCGTGTCGAAGAGGGAGAAATCCACGCTCACGTCGGAGAGCAGCGCACCGTAGTGCGATGTGCGGACGGCCCCGCTGCAGAGCTCGCGATCCGACAGGCGGCGACGAGGCAGCGGCGTCTGCATCGAAGGCCACAAGCTCAGTGTTGTCCACCTCAATCGACCTCTCGTATGGCGGCGACGGCTTCGACGGCAGCCTCTGCCTCTTGGCGCGTGGGTTTTGCGGAGTTTGCGGGTCGGGCCAGTGCCAAGTACCGGGTACCCCGTACGACTTGCGACTACGGGGACCCCGGGGGCGACCGAACAAACAAAACATCTGTTTATGCTCTGTTCCCGGGCATTCACACTATATTCCTGAGATATTGGGCGATTATATCCAAAAGGGATTTATTGGGGATACCCATCACTGAGCCGACAATGCTACGGGTAGCCCCAGGGTGGCGCCCGCCCCCATACCCTCGGGCACTTGCCTGCGCCCTCACGCGCTAGCCCACTCCCTGCCCCGCAATATCTCACTCCATCCCGGCCTGCGGCATACCTCGGCACACCCCCTTGCACGGAATCTGAGCGTGAGGGCGAATCTGAGCGTGAGGGAATCTGAGCGTGAGGGAATCTGAGCGTGAGGGAACCTGGGCAGTGCCGCGTAGTGCGGCGTGCGCGCGGTCGTGCGCGCACGTGCGCGGGCGTGCGCGGGCGTGCGCGGGCGTGCGCGGGCGTGCGCGGCATGTGCGCGGCCAGGGCGTAGGCAAGTGCCTGAGGGTATGGGGGTGGGCGCCACCCTGGGGCTACCCATAGCATCGTCGGCTCAGTGATGGGTATCCTTGGTTTGGGAGATTCGTGTATACGTGTTTCGGTTTCTTACATCTATCGCAACACTCTAAGTGACCGATTGCCAATACTCAATCAGTCAGCTCAGAGTCACGGCGCAGTAAGGATAGGCGCGGCGCGCAACTAGAGCTGACCGGATTGGCTCGTGCTCAATAGCTCAATCAATACCTAAAGGCCTTCCAGTTGTTGTTCGCCGTGTAGGAGCTGCTGCCGTCTTGCGAGACGCGACATGACTCGTCCTGGGTGTCGTACGAGCAGCAGAATTCGTGGTGGTAGCCATTGTCGGTGGCGTGTTCGACACACGCGTTTCGGCAGCTCTCGGCGCTGTCCTTGTTGCCCAGCGGGTTGGAGACGTCCTGGCACTTGTAGTCCCGATGGATGCTGTAGTCGCTGTAGGTTGGGGGTGGCGACGGTGGGGCAGGAACAATCTCAATACCAGCGCAGTAAAAGTAGTCGTCGCCGTTCTCTACCCGAGTTGCCTCATACACCTCGCACGTCGATCCCGAATAGGAGACGCACAATTCATCTCCATTCGCCGCCTGCAGTGGAGGGGGGGAGCACAAAGTAAGAACAGAAGGCGGACACAAGCGAAGGTGTACAGTCGTACTACGGAGTGGCCTACTCGAGGACGGCTTGGGCAGGCAGTGCGACGTACCCACGCGTGAGCCGATACAACCGCCGATACGTATGCGAAGCAGTCCGACATCGAGTTCCCTCTGGAATCGGACAGCCCAAAATCGAAATCCGAGGGGAGGCCATACTTGTAGACAATGTTGTTGCTGCCGCCATCCGGATGGCAGCCACACCCCGACGAGGAGGTCACGAGATAGGTGCTTGCGCCGATGGTGATGCCTGGATAGCCTGGGGGCGGTGAAGGGGGCGGGAGCGGCGGCGGAGGTGCAGGGGAAGGCGGAGGAGTAGGCGGAGGAGGAGTCGGCGGAGGCGGTGACGGCGGCGGCAGAGGGGGCGGAGGAAGCGGCGGTGGAGGCAGCGGCGGCGGCGGCGGCGGCGGCAACGGCGGCGGCGGCGATGGCGGGAAAGGCCTGCTCGGGACAGGTGGCGGAGGCGACGGCGGCGGTGACGGAGGGGGTGGCGGAGGGGGAGGGAACAGGTCACAGAGGCTAGCGCTCCCGCAGCTCCCGGAGGCGCAGTGCGAGTCGTATTGGCAGTAGGCCTGCGGGCACTGCGATTTCGCCACCAAGTCTGAGCGACAATTCGTGCCGAAGCCTGGCCAATCCGCCGAAGCCGGACACTCGCCGTTCTTGCTGTACTTTGTGCAGGTCCGTGCGCAGTAGCTCGTCGAGAGGCGCCGCCTGCCGTCTCCAGCCGCGGCGCGCGGGAAACCAGCCGCCTCGAGCGCCGCATCGGCGGCGGCGAGCAGCTCCAGTGAGCTGCTGGTCGCCTCCTCAGCGGTGAATGCGGAGCAAGTCACGTCCGCCTCGCAGAGCTGGTGTACGATGCCTTCCCGGTCAGTGTAGGTTGCCGCTCCGTTGAGAATCTCCACCTTCCCGCCGAGGTTGAGGTGGAAGGCGACGTGGGTGTTGGAGTACTTTGTGACGTCGCTCACCTTGAGCGAGGCTGTGACGGTCGAGTCGCCACTCTCGTGCCGCACCACAAGTCGGTCGGTGGTGGCAAGCGTCTCGAGCGGCAAGATGGGCCCTGCGAGAAGGGGCAGCTTCAGCTCGCTTGGGCGGGTGGCGACGATGTTGTTGTCACGGTCGGTGAGGGCGTGGGCGTCATTGGAGGTGTCTGTGTCCTTGCTTGTGTCGACGACGTGCCAAGTCAGCCCAGCATTCACGCCCACGACAGCGACGAGTGCAACAACGGCGACAATGACGACGCGGCCTAGCACCCAGTTCATCCGCCTCGCCTCGTCCTTCGCCTTGCGCTCCGCCTGCACGTCCTCAACGATGTCGACCACCTCGCCGAGGTCGAATACGCCATCTTGGTTGCGGTCATACTTGTCCATCAGCTGAGCTGCTAGCGCCTTGGCTGCTGGGCTCTTGCCGGCAAAGCTGGCGTCGGCCTCCACAGCTGCTGTGAAGGCGGCTCGGCGCTTGAGCGACCGCTCGCCGCCCACACAAGATTGCTCGCCCTCGTCTCCGCTGCGCGCCGGCGCAACAGGCACGGCGGGAAGCATATGGGGGTGCTATCTGGGGGGGTTGTTGATGAGTCAAACTTGCCAGTTCGAGTAGCGACGGGCGCTCACAGTTGTTATGTATGTATTGCAATATATGCCTCGTTGGAGCCGAAGCCATCGTCGGCACGCTCGCTCGCGGCCAACAAGGCGCTCACGACGAGCCAGTCGGCGGTTCTCGGCACCATGGCGGCGAGCCCGGTGCAGGCGCTCGACATGCTCACCAGGCCAACACCAACACCCTCCTGTCGCACTCACTTTGTAAGTGTATGTAGTTCATACGTACATTCTTTGTGGGCCTGGCCGGCTGCATGCGCCTCAACGGGTGCGGCGGTCGTGCGGAGGGAGTCGAGATACCTAGGTAGCGCCGAAGAGAAGCAACGCGGCATGTGTCCGACAGCACGCCTGCTCACAGCCACCTCGAGCAGCGCCGCGCTCCTTCCAACCAGCTCCTCGCTTGCCGCCGCACAGCTACGCCATGATTGGCGCTCCGCGTTCGCGACGCAGCCACTGGAATTTTCGCGCGTGTCACTGCGAATAGACGGCGTGCTGCCAGAGGAGCTGCGCGGCGGCACCTACTTCAAAAATGCTCCTGCGCGCTTCGAGCGCGGTGGCATTGAGTACGCGCACTGGCTCGACGGCGACGGCTATGTGACCTCGCTGGCGCTCGACGACGGCATGGCCACATGGAGCGCACGCTACGTGCGAACTGATGCCTTCGACAACGAGGATGCGAGCGACGCAGTCGAGTGGCGCACGACTTTTGGGACGCAGAAGCCGGGTGGCGTGCTCGCCAATGCAATGGATATCAAGCTGAAGAGCCCTGCCAATACGAACGTGATGCTCTTCGGCGATAAGCTCTATGCGTTATGGGAGGCAGGTCCACCCTATGCGCTGGATCCTCACACGCTCGAGTGCCAGGGCGCCAGCGATCTCGGCGGGCGGCTGCGGCTCAGCAGCTCGCACGGCGCGCTGCCCGGCACCGTCGGTGTGGCCGCCGTCGATCGGCTGCTCGAGGCGGCGGGGCTGCTGACGGACGCATGCTCGGCCCATCCGCGAGAGGACGCGCGCGACCGCCAGAATACGGTGGCGTGGAGCTGGCGGCAGAGGCTTGTGGGTGAGCCGGCCATTGAGGTGGCGCTACACAATTTGCCCATGGCGCACGCGAGCGACGACGACGAAGCCACCGCCGCTCCGGCCGAGCCTGTCACGTCGACGCTGCACGGCGTGGCCTTTGCGCCTCACGACATGGCGCTGAGCCGCGCACGTGCACTCTTTGTGGCCTCACCCACGCGCGTGGACATCTTGCCATTCATCCTCGGGATACGCGGGCCGGCACAATGCAGCGTCTTCGACAAGGCGGCGACGCTGCCTGCTGGCTCGACGAGCTACATCCACGTGGTGCCGCGGACCGACGGCAACGGCCAACTCGACGGCGCGGGCGGGCATCGGGAGGCGCTCGCGGTGGCGATTGGCCAACCGTTCCATCCCGTGCACTCGTGCAACGCGTGGGATGACGAAAGCGACGGCAGCCGCGTGCAGCTGCTGGTCTCGTGCTGGCCGCCGGCGGCCGTGCGCCGCCTCGCGTTCGTCGGATCGAGCCTACTCGGCTCGTGGGAGGAGCTTCGCGATGGGGACTTCTCCGGAGTGCCGATGACGAATCTCGTGCGCTTCGAGATCGACACGAGATCGGAGCGCGTAATCTCGCACGCCATCCTCGCCGACGGCGCGCAGCTCGACCATCCAAAGGTGCACCCGCGCGTGCACACGCGTGAGAGCCGCTTCGTATTCGCGACTCTCGGCCGGCACGATAACGGCGGTGACGAGGACGCGACGCCGCGGCCGCCGCAGAGCTTCGGCTGCGTCGACCTCGCAGCAGCGGGCGGCTCGGGTGAGCTCGTCGACGCGTGGCACGCGGGGCCCAGGCGGCTGGTGGACGAGGCGACGCTTGTCGCAATGGCGCCTGCGGACGCGTCGGAGGACGTCGACGAGCGCGCCGTGTGGCTGATCGCGCCCATCTTCGACGGCGAGACGCGCACCACCTCGTACGTCGTCCTCGACGGCCGCCGGCTGAGCGACGGGCCCGTGTGCGAGCTGCACCTGCCTGAAGGCACCTTCGTGCCGTGGGGCCTGCACGGCTGCTGGCAAGAACCCGCGAGTTCTTGAGCTTTAACCCTTTCAGGACCACTGTCCGCCTTGCGGAAGGACAACGCCTCCCCACGGTTCCTGAGTGCCCTGCAGGCCATGCCACTTAGCTCTGGGGGCACGCGTGGGGTGATGCGTAGACATCACGCAACACGTTTACAACATTGTCGCGACACGTAACTACTTTCGTAGAAGGGAAATGCCGGCGGGCACTTGCGACTTGGAGCACTTGGAGTGCAGTCATATCAACCCTCCCTCACGAGCTGCCGTCGGCAGACACCGGCAAGGTTGCTGACGTCTTCTTCTCGCTCACCCGCGGCGGCCTCTCCCAGCACGTCGTCACCGCGTCGCAAGAGGTCTTCTCCACGTCGCTGGCCGTGCTGCCTGCCCCACTCCTCCTCTCCCTCTTCCCTGACGCGCCGCCGCTGCCGACCGGGGCGTCGCCGACCGGCGCGTCGCCGCCGCCCGCGCCGTCGCCGCCGTCGCCGTCGACTCCCAGGCTGCTCGAGCTCTCACCGGGGTCGGTGGAGTAGCAGCGGCTGGGGCGCGACGGCGAGGAGGCGGAGGCGGAGGCGGAGGCGGAGGCGGAGCGCGTGGAAAAGGAGCTCCGCTATGCTGGGCGGCTGGCCCGAGCCCGCAGCGCAAACTTGCGAGCGATCGGCCTCGCTTCACCTGCGGGGGCGGCGCAGGTGCACCCGGCCGCAGGCGCGCTCGCGGCATCGGAGGGGAAGGAGGAGGAGGAGGAGGCGGAGGGGCGGCGTCAGGTCTGGCATCTCCCCACATCTCCCATATCTCCCCACATCTCCCCGCATCTCCCCGCATCTCTCCTCATCTCCCCACACCCCCCCGCATCTCCCATATCTCCCCGCATCTCTCCACATCCCCCCGCAGCTCTCCACATCTCCCCACAGCTCCCATATCTCCCCACCTCTCCCCACATCCCCCCACATCCCCCCACACTCCCCCCACACTCCCCATAACTCCCCAGATCTCCCGGCGCGGCATGAGGTGTGACGCCTGCCGAGCTCATTAGCCATCGTCCGTAGGAGGTGTCGCCCGGCCCGTGCCTTCCGCGCCGTCTCCGCGGCCTCGTTCCTCGAGCGTCGGGGAAGCTGGTCGGTGTTGGCCGCTTCGACTGGCACGTGCCCGCCAAGGAGGAGGAGGAGACAGAGGAGACAGAGGAGGAGGAGGAGGAGGCGGAGGAGGCGGCGGCGGAGGCGGCGGCGGAGGCGGCGGCGGAGGCGGCGGCGGAGGCGGCGGCGGAGGCGGCGGCGGAGGCGGCGGCGGCGGAGGAGGAGGAGGAGGCGAAGGCGACGGCGGCGGCGGCGGCGGCGGCGGAGGAGGCGGCGAAGGCGAAGGCGGCGACGGAGGGGGAGGAGGAGGGGGGACTCGTCTTTTCTCCGCCTCGTGCCTGGCGGGTGGACTCGCCGTCTTCCGAGGCCGCCTCGCCGTGGCACCCGGGCTCTCCCTTCTCGGCCGCCGCCTCGCCGCCCGCGCCAGTTGCCGCCTCACCCGAGGTCCGCCCGACCCGCACGCTGCTTGCCCAGCTCGGGCACGAGGCGCTGGTTGAGCTGGCGCGTGTGTGTGTGTCGCCAAGCAGCGCCGCGCAGGCCCGCGCCGCCATGCTCGACAGCGGCGCCTTGCCCACCGAGCCGCCGCCGCCGCCGCCGCCGCCGCCGCCGCCGCCGCCGCTAGACGTCGCCGCGGCAGAGGCGGCTTGGGCTGCGGGCGCCTTGCCGGCCGAGCCGCCGCCGCCTCCCTCGTTTGGCACGCCGGACAAAGCCGCAGCCGCGCCGTGCACCGCCGAAGTGGGGGTGATCCCCGCGCGGCATTTCTAGGCACGCCGGACAAGCCGCAGCCGCCGCCTGTGGCCGCGCCCAACTCGCGCCTCGACGGCGAGCTCGCGCCCTCGCCCGCCTCGCCGCTGCCGCCCTCGCCCGCCTCGTCGCCGACGCCGTCTCCCGACACGGGCGCGGTGATGAAGGCGGTCGCGAGGGTGCGTTCTGCCACAGAGTCGGCGATGACGGCGCGGGAGGTGCCAGATTCCCCGAGAGATTCTACATGACGGCGCGGAAGAGCGCACGAGATATGGGGAGATCTGGGGGGATGGCGCGGGAGGTGCACGAGGGCCATCGCGGCCGGCGGCGGATCGAGGACATGCGCATGCACATGCACATGTCCGGGACATGTCGAGGGCATGTCTGTCTTAGGTGCACGAGGCCATCGCGGCCGGCGGCGGGTTCGCAAAGGTGCGAAAGGCGTCCTCCAAGCTCGGCGTGGTCGGCGCCGGCACCGAGGATGGCGGAGGCGTTGCGCGGCGGCGCGGCGGCGTCGGCTCGTGGCTCCGTGGCTGGTGGCTTCGCGGAGTCGGAGACGACGGCTGGCGGGGCGGGGCGGGGCGGGGCGGGGTGGTGGGGCGACGTGCCGGCGCTCGCGTGTCTGACGAATGGCTATTGAGAGGGCCCATCGACGCATTGTACAGGTGCCCACCCTCAGACCCTGCCTCCTGCCCCCGCGTCGGCGCCGCCTGCTTATTGCGCCCAATGCCGCGTCGCAGATCCTGCTTTGTGTCTTCTCGGGCGAACAATAGCGATTCCTGGCTCTGTAGACTTGCGGCTTTTGCGGCCCGTGTGCCATGCGTGCGTCGGCCGCACGGCCAGCTTCAGGCTGCACATGACAGTCCAAACCCCGCGTCCTGAAGTTGTCGTGGCGCCGAGCTGTTGAGTGTTGACGCGGCCATGTTTGCTACAATCGCACGGCATGCCCCGGGACGAGAGATGCGCAACGAGTTGACATTAGGTAACTCGCACCGTGCGCTGCAGTACACAGTACAGTGTCTCTGTGTCGTTGTGCCTAACAGCCAAGGGACGCCAAAACAAATGCATTTTTGCGCAGCAACATCTTATCGGCGCCCCCCCAGGTGAACCCCTTAATGAACACCTCAATGAACCCCTTAACGAAGACCCTGCACTCGGTGGGGGGTTCGGGGGGAGGCTGGCCTCCCCCCGACTGTGTTGAAGCCCCCTGGACACCCTTGGCTCCCTGGACCCCCTTGGGACTTGCAGCGGTCCTCTTCCTCCGTAGGAGGGCGCCTCGTTATTGTTGAATTCTTCCCGGTAATTAAAGGTTCATATCTCAGCTCACAATAGTCCTTGCAGGAGGGCGCCTGGGTCTAAATTTAGTGCGTGTGAATGAACTTTAGTGATAGTTTAGTGCGCTATTTAGTGCGTGTTCGAGTGCGTATATAGTGCGACTTTAACGCAAATTTAGTGCAAATTTAGTGCAAATTTAGTGCAAATTTAGCACATATTTAGTGTGTTTTATCTCCAATTTAGCGCCACATTTAGTTCACTTTAGGTGCGGGCAGCTGCAGTACATTTAGTGTGGGTCCCGCATCTTTAGTGCGGGCACGCACCTTTAGCACGGCTTCCCGGCCACACCACAGCTAGCCAGGGCCGCGTGCTTTGCTCCTTGGCTGCCAAGAATGCACCACAGGAGATGCCTGGCCCCTGCCCTCATGACCCAAAGGCAGGCTCCCAGTGAGGCTAGATATGCCGCCCTCCAGAGCAAGATCTCCCGACTGAGCACAGGCACAGCACCGATTCCCGAGAGGAGGACCAGCACAGTTGAATGCGCCACGCTTCCCGGCAATCGTTTTGCCGCTCGGCGGGCCCGGAGAAGCAGCCCGGAAAGCACCTTTTAGGCTGATATCAGCAGGTTTACTTCGCTCGGTTGGGGATGGGACGGGGAACTTTTGCGAGTGGGCAGGGAACTGCAGGGGGAGAGGGGGAGGGAGGCCCAGGGAGGGGCTGCGGCTGGATCCTACTGCGCGG